GGAATGTTTAATATTGTGGAAATTTTGAACTGTTATTCTAAAAGACTACAGAGCTTCAATTTTAAAGTAAATAACACACCCTTGGTCGATCCTCCATAGTGAAAGTACAATTTCCTTAGGGGGAGTTCCACTTGGTGTAAGAGGCACAGGGCTCTTTGGAGTGCTCGATGTAGCAGAACCTCAAACTCTCGAAAAGCACCTCCCTGAAAATGATTTATTTCAACATTTTTATGAGAACGAAATGGTTGTGTCGCTGTTTGATAGTGTCCAATGCTCAGCTATAACATAAAAAGTTTCTAATCGTAAATGAAAAATGAGTTATTTGCTTACCAAGTAGCCAGAATTAACACTAGTGTTGTCTCCACCTATACACAATGTATTGTCCGTGGTTATGCCACGACTTAGGAAGTAGTCATACAATCCAACAGCAATGCCTCTACCTATATAAACATTAAGTAATCAACAAAGAATCCGCATAAATGTTACAGTGTAACTGCAGAGCCTTTCCGGAAATCTGATGCAACGTTAAAATGCAGGAATGAGACATATAATTGTAACATTAAACCGTTCATTATACCACTAATCTGGAGAAGAACAATTTTAAACGTACTTTCAATCGAAGTTTAATCTAAATAATAGTAATGCTTACCAGTCGATTGTTCTGGAACAAACATCCCAAGAGGGATCGCACCAGGCTGTTCTACCACAGAGTAGTGGCTCCGTTTCCCCACACTATGTCGTATGTGACCTTTTTCATCTTTTTGGCTCATCCTTATATTCTTATCCTCCTTTCCGTCAAAGAATATTGCTGCAAAATAACAAGTTTTAATTTATAGCATACTCATTCTAATAGTAAAGTTACAAGTTTTTTTTTGTAATAAATATGTCCAAAAGTCAAAGACAAAAACTAAGCTGATTAACGTTAAGACATTATATGTACAAACCTAACGGAGAACGAGTTGACAGTGCTTCAAGCCTCTTCTTTCCATCTCTTTTACATGTGCTTTGAAGTTTTGACCGGGGAACAACAAATGGCTGCTGTAGATGACCCCCTTTGTATAGTTCCCTGCAAAATGATGTTAACGTGCGTGCCGTCGACTCCAAGCCGGCAGAATTTCTTTCTAACTCAGCTGCCATACCATCCAGACTGCAGTTCAGGTAAGTGGAAACCGTGATTTTCGGTGTTTCCGAAGTACTAGTAGAGGAACTCGACGAGGCTGGATGAAAATCAGCATCCTTTTCATCTCTTGGGTCAATGTAGCTATGTTGACTTGCTGAGTCATCGCTTAGATAAACAACCTGTCGTTAACAAGTAATTGTATTGTTGTCCGTGATTTTATTAAAGATGGCCAGGGCATTTAAAAAATTGTTCATTACAACAGCTCCCTTTATCAATTATCACAATGTCGGCGCAGAGATTAAATTGATCATTTGACGGTCAATGATATTATATCAATATTATCTCAGTTAGGCTATTTTAACAACTAATTATGTATTCGTATTGAAAAGTGCTTACGGGCAATAAATCTGATGTAGTAACATCGCTGAGAGCAGGAGTGATGAGATTAACTTGCACAGGGGCTTCAACTTCAAGTTTCTTTTTGGGTAGGACATCAAAAGGTTCATTTAGACTGTTAGTGAACTTGTCCATCCTGGACTGTGCCGCCTTAGCTGAGAGATCTCGGAGTTTTGTATCAATGGTTCTTATTTTCCTGCAATAGTTTTCAAATTACAAATAGCGTAACCAATTTTATAAGAAATATAATTATAAATAGCATTATATTAACTAGAATGGACTATGAATATCAGTCACACGAATCACGATTGGCAATTATCCACACCGGATATGAACGCTAAATACAAACTGCATAAATAAATAGAAACGGAATGAATAAAAACAGATCGGAAAAAGCACTTAAATATCAACGAATAGTATGACGCCAAATATGAGAACATAAAAATATGGTACTTACTTAGCAATACCAGGTGCAATTCTACGAATTTCGGACTTTTCTGTGACATCGTACAAAGCAAGCAGGTCAATAGCAACAGGACGGTAGAACTCAAAAATCGAAAGTTTTTTCTTCCTACCTATATTGGCTTCTTCGACGAGAAAAAGTAAATGTGACAAAACATGACGTAGCAGAGTTGGACGACAAAATGAATTTAAACGATCTGGTTTAACAAAATCTTCAAGTTTCATGGTGGTGCTCAAAAAATTATAAAATTGGTGTTATTGATGGCGCTGCTGTACTTATAGCTATACGATTATCGAATATTGAGACTAATATGTGATGGTAATTTTGGGGCATGGATTTTAGGCACATCAATCAATATTTTGCAGAACATGGAATTTCAGTTACAGTAATCATGAAGTTACCCTGAGGCCTGAAAAATTTGTTAAAAGTGTCCATTGAGCAAGCTAACCTTGGCCTTCATGAGGAATATTGTTAAATAAGCTTAGGGGCTATTGCAGTGCAAATTGTTTCAAAGCCACTTGTTCAATGAAACCGCAAGTTACATAATCATAACACCCCGTTGGTTTCAATATGGCATGAATTTAACACTAATTGGTGAATGGTAATACCAGGAAAAATAAATTCGTGGGTTCTGATTAAAAGTGCTGAACTGCTGCCCGAGAACTAGGTTTCAAATACTCTAAGGTGAACTCTGCTCCAAGATCTGGTTTTAAAACGGTACGAGCTAAACTCAAACTGCTGCCCAAGAAATAGGTTGTACTACTCGGAAGGGTCCGTCTACTTAGGATGTCCTCCAAAATTTGAACGGATATTGAAATGAACGGACATTAAAATGAACACTTGGGCTTTTAGCATCCAACTATGAAGTCCGTTAAAATGAAGTCCGGATATTGTACATGATAATACAGTCACACTGTTCGGAGATTGTACATAAAATAATTGGGAAATTGGTAGATCACCGACCGGCTATAAGCCGGTTATAAGCCGGTTATAAGCCGGCTATAAACCGGCTTATAGCCGGCTACAATTTTTATAGCCGGCTATAAGCCGGCTTATAGCCGGTTAGTAGCCGCTTACATTTGTTATTGAGCGACGGCTATAAGCCGGTTATAAGCCGGCTATTAGCCGTTTAGGTATCGGCTATAAAAAATTCAGTGAAAACGGCTATTAGCCGGTTATAAGCCGGCTATTAGCCGTTTAGGTATCGAAAGTGGTTATAAGCCGGCTATAAGCCGGCTATAAGCCGGTTATAAGATATTAACTCAACTTCATCGTACTGAACGATAGTCAGGAGCCGGCTATAAGAAATTCAGCGAAAACGGCTATTAGCCGGTTATTAGCCGTTTAGGTATCGAAAGTGGTTATAAGCCGGCTATAAGCCGGCTAATAGCCGTTTTCACTGAATTTCTTATAGCCGGCTCCTGACTATCGTTCAGTACGATGCATAGTTGAGTTAATATCTTATAACCGGCTTATAGCCGGCTTATAACATAACCACTTTTAATACCAAAACGGCTAATAGCAGGCTTATAACCGGCTAATAGCCGTCGCTCAACAACAAATGTAAGCGGCTACTAACCGGCTATAAGCCGGCTTATAGCCGGCTTATAACCACTTTTAATACCAAAACGGCTAATAGCAGGCTTATAACCGGCTAATAGCCGTCGCTCAACATCAAATGTAAGCGGCTACTAACCGGCTACTAAGCCGGCTTATAGCCGGCTATAAAAATTGTAGCCGGCTATAAGCCGGCTTATAGCCGGTTAGTAGCCGGCTTATAGCCGGTCGGTGATCTACCAACTGGCCAAATAATTATAGTCACACTGTTCGGAGATTGTAAAACGTCTGACCGAGAATTAGGTTTAAAATACTCTAAGGTGAACCTTTCTCCGAGATCTGGTTTTAAAACGGTACGAGATAAATTTCCGAGGTAAATTGTAAACTTGGGCTTCTAGCATCCAACTATGAACTAAAGTCCGTTTAAATAAAGTCCGACAAGGTAGTATGTAGTATTATTGATTATATTAAATGTACAACTACAAGCTACAATTTGCTCAGGGTTAACATCTAATATTTTGGTCTTTCACTGTTCCAACAGCTAAGGAAAGCTATTGAATGTTTCAGTGTAAATACTGATATTATATAATAAAACATACCCCGACCAATTTACCTCAATACACATTGTACCAATTGATCCTCAGGGCTATAAGTTAGTTAAAGGTGTTATCACGTGATCTCGGTCACATGACTGCTAGTAAGACGCACCTTAGCTGCTCGAAGGGGGCAATTAGAATACTGTACTCGCACAATTGCACATATGCTCAATACTGGATCGTCGACCACATTTCTTAATATGGTTAAATTGGTCATAGATATTATTGTTTACTCAATTGATATTATTGTTATTTCCAGAACAATGACTGGTCCATTTTCGATAAAACTTTCGCCATCTGAACTGTCATAATGTAAGCTTTACAACGGTACCAATTCCATAAATACGATTAAAAAACCATCCACCCTAGGGCATGTTTGTGTCAAGGAGAGGCAGGAAGAGGTAGGGTGAAACAGTTATTATTGCGAACGGTGTAGTCCAAATAGTCACTAACACGTTTCTTTTTTATTTTGTTTGGCCATTTAGTAAATTTTTGCCCCTTATATGGCATTTTAATTAAATAAATTCGACTCAGAACACTTGTTATGTTGTTTGAAGTAAGCAAGTAATACTAATAGCTCTATTGACTGAAAGTGACCGTGGTGGCCTGGTATAAATGGTACCGTTTTAGGGGATCATAATCGAATGTATAAACGTAAGCACACGTGTCACGTATTAGGGTTTAATATTGGAGGAAACTGCATTCATTATAACTTCGAGTTCACATGTGGCAATGTTTGTGAGTGATTTCTGCATTGTGCATTATGTACATAATAACACCTGAAGGTTCCACGTTAAATTAAAGTACCTAAAATAAGTAAAATGCTTAACACCCAGGTGGCTGCAAGAGTCAAAGTCCACACCGAATTGCAGGTTAGAAAAGAGCGAGCCAGTCAGAAAGGACGCATCAAAGACTATGAACATTTTTAACAGGTATCCCATACGACGTGGTTTATTCAAAGTAAGGAATAATATTGATGAAGAGGCTTCCTCGGCCATTAATTAAAGTAAATTAATCAATAAAAACAATATTTACAAAACATGAAGTTATTATTTTTTCAAATCTCAACATGACATCGTCCACAGAACAAAACCTCTACTGCCGGTAACGTTATCGTATGATGAGATACTAGAATACGAATCGGCTTTCAAGGCTGTTGACTTAGATGGAGATGGTCATATAGATGTATCAGAGTTAGGTTAGTTGTTCATAGAGAGTTAGAGCGACATATATAATATTTTATATAATGCACATCTAGCTATAATTAATAAATAATAAATGAAACGAATTTGGGTTGTATAATCGAAAAATAATAAAGTTGCATTCCAGTATAACTCATTCTTAGACACACGCCAACAATCAACATGTAGAAACATATAGCAACATGTATCAACTCATTTCCACTAAAACCCTTTATCGGGGTCATCGGGCTGGGCTGGGTCGGCATCCACTCAACAACTGCCCGCGCTTGATAACATAATTTCAATATCGTTAATATTGTTATTACTTTATTAGTGCTGATAGTGCTGATAGTGCTGATATCGCTATTCTCTTTAGGAACCTTATTGTGTGGAGTAGGACTCAGACCATCAGAAGATGAGATAGCAGACATGATTAAATCTGTGGATATTGATGGCGACCAGGTATATTCCACCCAGATCGAACATTATAATTGAAAGTTTGAATCTGATGTTGACTTTTTCATTTTTAAAGAACTTTTAGTTTAAAGATAGCTCTAAATACTACAAGTTACAAATTTTTAGGTGTTGAATATCTGCGAGTTTATAAACCTTATGTCTCGTCAGCACAACCCCTTCGTCACTCCAAATAGTCAATTCAAAGCCGTGTTCAGGTAAATAGTTGTTAATCCGTATTATATATATCAATATACGTATAATTCTCTGTTACCTTTTCCCTTTCAGTTTGAATAAATTCTTTGTGGATTAATACCGAAAGTTGATTCGTTATAGAATCTATCCATAATGGACCAGAACATATACAACTTTGCTTTATTTCATAACCACTATTCGATCAAATATAAACAATGGAATCTTTCTTTTTTTTCTCTTTCAGAGTTTTCGATAGCGACAATAATGGTTTTCTAACAAAAGAAGAGTTCAAAGATCTGATATTTAGTTTAGGTAAGAGTTGAACATAATTACTTTTTGTCTAACCTTAAAATTCGTTTTTGCATTGGAGCAAGGGTGGTGTTGTGAAGCTGCGGGGAAGGTTTAAAAGTGGGGCTGTGGTTTGTCCTTGAAGACCGGATGAATGTGGCATATTCCTAAAATTCTTCCTAAGACGAGACTATATTTTTATGCGCCTCCAAAAGGAAGCAATCTCATATCGAGAAGCCGGAGCCGGAGTTTTTATTGGAACTGTTTCAAAAAATATCAAGTACATCATTCATCATTGTGGTCAAAAATTTAAGTACAACTTGAGCTAGCTGAACGCAAATCCTGTCGATAAGTTATCTAGAGGCGGACAATTAAAATTAACCTGCAACCTATTTTCAATTGTTCCATCATAAAATTACTCTTATTCAGGACAAAAATGCTCCGAGAGTGAACTAAAGACGCTTATGGATTTTCTGGACAAGGACCAAGACGGAACTATCAGTGAAGCCGAATTTCTTAAATTCTTTCTGACGGACAGCCCCATGTGGCTCGAGAAACTTGCCAGCCTAGACAAAACTATAAGACGACTTTGAGACAAGTGTAATTGTAAAACTTAAAAGCATGATTTTAGCATCTTACGTATCTTTTTGATAGCCAGTTAATGTTCAGTGACCACGATGTTTTTCGTCTTCTTTTGAAGTGAGGAGATCATTATAATTGAAGTTTGGTCGACATCGTTTTTATTGTAAATATTCTTATTCTTTCTGTTTTGATAGTTTTTTTCGTTAAAATATGTATAACCTCAATTTATATTCGATTCTATAAAATAAAGCAAAAAGATAAACGATTTGAATTGTTGTTTTGTTATTATAAGGTTGTAACTGTCGCATGATATATAAACTTGCGCGGACACAAGCCTTTCTTCTGAACAAAAAAGGATGATATGCAAAACAATTGACCGGCCCACAGATCATTTAAAGGTTCAATTAATTTTTGACCGTTACCAAGGACAAAGGATAATGAGCAATCAACGTTCCAGATAATGAATAGCGTAGTAGTGTAGCTGTAGTAGTTTGCTAATTAAGATATTGTGTAATGGTGTTCTAACACTGTGACTACTCCTACTATAACACTATTTGGTGAGGGGCACACTAGGAGCTAGTGATTAAAATGTAAAAAAGATGGAGGTAGCAGACGTTCTATGATACACATTACATAGAAGTTATATGAGGGTAGATGTTTTGTGTTTATTTTCCCAGCACGTTTCGGGGGATGCGAATTGATTCTACAGTTGTACTTGTTTTCTTATGCGTTTTGTTGAGCACATCCATTCAATAAATTACCAGAAGAATAAGTTAAAAGTTTACATTAAATTACAACATGGACAGTGAGGAGGGAATCGTACATTCTAACGAAGCGGCGATCGAGCTGGATACAGATGACGAGACTCAGCCTATACTGTCTAAAGAAGACGACCTCGGCGACAAAGGACTGTCGAATGATCACGCGCACTTATCCACAGACAGGTATGGAACCTTCTATCCAGGTCCAAAGACTTTTACCTTAAGCCAAAGACGGGTTCTACGTAGGACACAACGAATGCAGTTCAAAGAGCTTCAAAGTGGACTGAGACGGAAAGATCAGGTTTCGACTAAGTTTACAAAGTTTATTGACGATTCAATGAAAAAAATGAATGAGATTCAAAGAAACCACTTCCGGATCTGGGGCAGTTCGATAAAACATATCCAGGGACATCTGGGATCTGGAGTGTGCACCTACTTCAAAGTTATTGTCTGGCTTCTGAAGATCAACTTGCTCTGCATGATTCTAGCTCTGGCTTTTATCGTGGGACCGGGAAGCTACATGGCTAACAATCATGCTCAACATCCCGCCCAAGAATCCCTTTACAACAAAGATGATTTGGAATGCACCAACCCTAACTTTGTAAACGGTACTGGATTTCATCATGATGCCGTCGATTCGGTGCTACAATTTCTAACAGGAACTGGATGGATGGAGAGTACAGCTATGTTTTATGGATGGTATCCAACAAGCAACCTGACCATGCATGTACATGGAAAAGAAAAAACTACTTACAACTTCTCCCTAGCATATTTTACCGTGGGAATTTCTTACTTTTTCCTTTCTCTGCTTTTCATGCTTTACAATTTGTCTAAGCTGTTCAACAAGTCAGCTGCTGAGCAATTTGACACAAAGCCCTATTCTTCGAAGGTTTTCACGTGGGATTATGGCGTGACAGACACCGGAGCTTGTGAGCAACAAAGCGTAAGGTTCATCCAGTCTCTCAAAGAAGGAATGACAGAGGATGCTCAGGAGGGTGTTAAAAGAGAATTTTCCGCAAAAGTAGGTATTGTCTTCCTCAGGATCGTCACCAATATAATTTGTTTGGGAGCTATGGTAGGAACTGTTTACCTTTATGTAAACCAGATTCTCACAGATTCTTCTGAGTTGCAGTCAACAGACAGTTGTGGAAAGCTCACTCAACCTTTAGATGATGGACTAGATATTGATCTGGGAAACCTGACTAACACTGAAATAAAAGAAAATTTGTCAGCCTTTTGGAGTACTTATTCCGCTTCTATCATAGTATCAGGGAGCAATGTCATACTGCCGATCTTCTTTCAGCTAGTAGGAACCTTTGAAATGTATAGCTTCCAGAGCACTATGATAGGCATAACTCTTGTGAGGATGTTCATTATGAAGCTGTTCAACATCTCAGTTTATCTTTACATTCTGTACATTGCAGTTGGGCCAAGTGGAGGGCAATTAGAGGAGTGGCAAACCCCTGACAATACCCTTATCTATAACTGCTGGGAGAATTATGTAGCTTCTCAGTTATACCAACTGGTCATGGTTGATTTCATTGTCTTTTGTATCGCCCTGCTTTGCTCTGAAGTCCTCCGAAGTTACTTGGTCACCAATATTTCCTTTTTGAGAGACAGGCTTGGAATCACTAAGCCAGAGTTTAACATTGCCGAGGAAATTTTGGATCTGGTTCACAAACAAATGATATTCTGGTCAGGGTTTTACTTTGCCCCGCTATTTCCGGTCGTAGCAGTGCTTGAAGTTATCGCCATCTTCTACTTAAAAAAGATAAGCGCTCTGAAGAATGTGATTCCTCCTAAAACGGTAGTCTTGAATCATCAGAGTACTTTTGCAGTTAACTGCCTCTTCCTCATTTCGCTCTTGATTGTCTTTGTCTTCATGGGACTGGTCATCTTCAACTTCCATCCGAGCAAAACTTGTGGCCCATTTAGAGAAAGCGCGTGGTTCAGTGACCCTTTCTCTCATGTCATCAAAAATTCTGGAAAGTTTAAAAGCTATATTGTCGACAGCCTGAAAACAACATCGGTTTTCATCATTTTAGTCATCGTGGTTTGTTTGGTCATTTACTACTACCGGTCTCTAGCATCCTCAAGGAAAGTTACAATTGGCTTGCTGAGACAGCAAGTCAAAGATGAGATAGCAGACAAAAAGTTCCTCCTGGATAGAGTTAAAGTTCAAGATTCCAACAATAATGAGGATGAGACAAAGATCGAGGACTTAAAAAAATCCACAAATTTAAGGAAAAAGGAGCTTCAACGTAAGATATCAAGGGCACATGGTTTTGCGAGCTAGTGTTATCTTTAAATTTGTTCACTTTAAAGACGGGCTTTAAGTACAAAGGATAAATAGTGCAATATATGAATCATGGGATGCATGCCTTTTAGTGTCGACCAAGCTGGACAACTTATTAGACTATCGAAAAATCTTTTCTGCCCTTTTTTTGCATCTAAGGATTAAGGAAAACAAGCACTTCGGACTCTTCGAAATAGAAAGACTGCTGTGAGTGTGATCAGTGTCAAAAAGATGCAGATTCCTTTGAAACTGTCACAAGTTTATTTTTATACAATAATCAATTTAATGCAAGGAAATAAATAGCTTTCACTGAAGATTTTTTACCTCTGTAGGCCCTTTGGCATGTATGTTTTACAATTTTAATTTCTTTGTTTAATGTACATATAGTATACAATTGCATTGAAAGCAAAAGCAACAATATCATTACTAATTTCTGAAATGGCGAACAATTTTCATTTGTTGTTTTCACGTAGCAGGTAATTCTCAATAATATAATAATTACCTGCACTTACAGAATACAAGGTCGTATAACTAAAATAAAGTATTATTGTACGACCAATAACAAATTACTGTTATACGATAGTAGCGCCCATCAGCACCAGTTATAAGTTCTATTTTGAGCACCATTTTCAAGAGAATATTGTTACACCTGCATCATTTGACACCGGGACGAGTATAATTGAAGAGTGGTACACAATGAGTTTGTACCAATTCCATGATACACACCTCCAGAGTCGTATGTTCAATGAGACAATTATTTTAATTGTAATTCAAATGCCTCATTGTGTATCACAACTGGGTTCGGTTACTACTTTATCTATTACATGCACCAACACTCACAACAGTGCGGGTAACACGTGTGATTCATCTGAAGCTTTGGCTCAATTTACGAATAACCTCAATTCTGTTATTTACACGCGAATATTGGGACTGAAATTCGATAGCCTTGCGTAGCTCTTTAGTTCATAATTCTCGATGATGTTTTGATTGAGTGCTCAAGGTTATACGTTTACTATTTTAATGCTTGCTGATGGACGTTATTAGTGAAGATTTGGTGGAGGAGTCTCCTTCCGTAGGCTTACTGGCCTTTGATGGTGGGGGAGGAGCTGGCGAATCACGTCTTGATGACGAGGTATTCTTTGCAAATAAAGAAGCGGTTCAATTAGAAGAACTTGGAGCTGATAATGCTGATTCTAATTCTATCGTTGCTGATGACGAATCCTCGCTCGAAACAAGTTTGGTAAAGAAAGAACCCGATGTAGGATCGTCTACGGAGTCGTATGGAACTTTTAAACCAGCAAAAACAGGTTCAGTTGTTGCAAAGCACCTTAGCCTGGATGAAAGGAGAATCATTCGACACACACAGAGACTTCAGTTTAAAGAACTTGAAAGTGGGTTAAAAGGAAGAGCTCAAATGACCTCCCAGTGCGTCAACTATGTGGAAAAACAACTAAAGCGAGCAAACGAGATAAAGAGGACATATTTTCGAGTCTGGGGTAAATCTATTAAACAGGTTGAGGGTCATCTTGGATCAGGGGTCAGCACTTATTTTAAAGTCTTAGTTTGGTTGCTTAAGATAAATGTCCTGTGCATGTTCCTTGGCCTGGGCTTGGTCGTGGGACCGGGTTGGTACATGGCTGATCATCATGGTCACACCGAGGATAATCTTTTCAACAAAGATGACTTGAAGTGTACCAACCCCAAATTTGTGAACGGCACTGGTTTCCATGTCGATGCTGTCAATTCGGTGCTTCAACTTCTAACAGGAACTGGATGGATGGAGAGTACAGCAATGTTTTATGGATGGTATCCAACAAGCAACCTGACCAGAAATGTAAAAGGGAAAGAGAAGACACTCTACAATTTCTCCCTTGCATATTTCACCGTGGGAATCTCGTACTTTCTCATATCCCTTCTGCTGATGTTGGCAAATCTGTCTAAGCTCTTTAACAAATCAGCAGCTGAACAAATGGAATCCAAACCTTACTCTAATGTAGTCTTCACATGGGACTATAGCCTCAATAACATAGAAACCACTCGACTGAAGAGCGTCACTGTTATCCAGTCTCTAAGAGAAGACCTGGATGAAGATGCCCAGGAGCACATTAAGAGGGATCTCAAAACAAAGATTGGTCTCTTCTTTCTCAGAATATTCACCAACGCTATCTGCGTAGCAGCGATGATTGGGACCGTTTATCTGTACGTTCATGAGATCTTGACGGATGGAAACGAGTCAAGAGCCAACGAAACAAATAGCTGCGGTAAGCTGGTTCATGAAGTTGTGGATGCCATAGATATCGGTAACATTTCAGACATCAACGTAACAGAGCAATTTGCTGCTGTCTGGAATACGTACTCTGCATCAATCATCGTCTCCGGAAGCAACGTTGTCTTTCCTGTATTCTTCCAGCTCGTAGGTAATCTAGAGATGTACCAGTTTCAAAGCACTAGAATTGGAGTCACACTCTTCAGGATGTTCATCATGAAGCTGTTCAGCGTCTCTACCTTCCTCTACATCCTCTACAAAGCAGCAGGTCCCAGCGGAGGTAACACAGAGAACTGGCAGACTCCTAACAACACCTTGTTCTACAACTGCTGGGAGGATTACATTGCATCTCAACTTTACCAGCTCATCATGATTGATTTCATCATCTTCTGCACTACTCTTCTCCTGTCTGAGGTGCTGAGAAGCGTCCTCGTCACCAGAGTATCATTTTTGAGGGATAAGCTAGGGCTCACCAAATCCGAGTTTAATATACCAAAGGAAATCTTGAATCTCGTTTATAAGCAGATGATATTTTGGTCTGCATTTTACTTTGCTCCACTTTTGCCAGTGATGGCAGTTATTGAAGTCACGGTAATCTTTTACTTAAAGAAATGGAGTGCAATATCGAACGTGATACCACCCAAAACTGTAGTATTAAACAACCAAAGCACTTTCACTATTAATGCTCTCTTTCTCATTTCACTCTTGATAGTATTCGTCTTCATTGGGTTGATCATCTTCAACTTCCATCCTAGCACGACTTGTGGGCCATTTAGAGGACAGGCAAGTTTCACTGATTCCTTCTCTAGTGTCATCGACCAATCTGGGGTGTTTAAAAGGTACATCATCGACAACGTCAGGACAACATCTGTATTCATCATTTTGGTCATCCTGGTTGCACTTGTGGTTTATTACTACCATTCCCTGGCGAATTCACGAAACGTTACCATTAGGCTACTGAGAGAGCAGGTACGAAATGAGATTGCTGATAAGAAGTTCCTGCTTGATCTGGCGCAAGATAAGGGACCCAAACCACAAGAAATTACTGAAAGCAAAGCCAAAGGGAAGCCAACTGAAGATAAAAGGAACAATTTAAGACGACAGAGCTCAAGAATACACGGCTTTGCAAACCCAGTTTTAGCCTAAATAATGTTTAATTTAGTATCTAAATAAACGAATTTCACAATTTTCCATAATTAAAAAATATTTAAAGCTAAATATATTTAAAAAATATTTAAAGCTAAATATGGTAACGTTTTAAAATTAAACCAATCGTCGAGGAAATCAGCTATACAGGAAGTCATCCAAATGACTTTAAAACGGTGAGTATTTAGACTTTTTCAGATTTCTCTTAATTAAAATACGAAATAAAATCTTGCCATCTGACTGACTTTCAATATATTTCTTTAGTATGCATCGGTTTTAGATATTTGTTTCAATGCATTGCGGTTTATTTTGAATTTTGATATTGGCAAAAATAAATGTAATTTGTTTAAATTATATGATTGAAAAAAAAACAGTTCAAGGGGGCTATATTTATGAGTCGCATTTGAACTTGATTTCTCTTGGAGAATTTCTCTTTAGACTCTTAACTTGCGAACAAATTGAAGCAGCAAACTTTAGGCTAGAAACTTTATTGAATTGAAATTTTCTAGTTTCTAGCCTAAAGTTTGCTGCTTCAATTTGTTCGCAAGTTAAGAGTCTAAAGAGAAATTCTCCAAGAGAAATCATGAAAAAAAACGCTAAGTTAATTTGTTCCTTTCTTGCCTTGGGCTAAAACCATACATAAAATGAAAACAAAATCTTTAAAGAGGAAAATACCCGATCACAAGTTTTTGAAATGTTTTTGATCACTGATACACTTGAAAAGCCGGGAAAAATCAAAATAAACTTCCACCCACATTCATGCAAAGCATATTAATTACCATATCATGAATTGACCATGTTAACGTCTTTACGGTTTAACATGATACCTTGTTCTGGTTTACCAGAACAGTAGTTAGATCCGGAGTCAGAAAGTCAACAATCGCGATGTTCACGTTTAAATCCCCGGATTCAAACAAATTGGGCAGGTGTCGGTTTAACTTCTGTGCCATCTGAAATGCAAGCGACATCGATTATATTGAAGAGTTTATTCAACTTTTTCATATTAAAATCTGAAGGCGTCATTTGCGAACTGAATAAGAATGGCATATCTTTATTTATGGTATTGCATTTATAAACAGCCCAAAATTTCATTCCAAAATCGACAAATCAAAGCTGCACCTGCTTGAGGTTGTGGGGACGCCAGAAGAGTCCATGTATAACATTCTTTGTGCGTGGTGTAAGGATTGTTTGCGTCACGTGCAACTGGAATGATTTGGGAGGTCCTTCTTCTATCAACTTCTTCTGATATATCAGTGTGTTAAGATACGGTATAGCGTTAGTATTATTTTGGATATATATTATACTATTATATAATCACGCAACTTTACCGGATAACTGTTTACACCACATCATGAAGTATAATATTTAATATTTATATGTTTTAACGTCCAGCATGTTGGTAAGCAAGCTTCGTTGGGCATGGGCAAAATGTTTGCCACATTCATGAAGCCCAGTGAGATATTTTCATTACACATAAACTTATCAATTTGTATATTTGTTATCAAGTGGTAAGAATGATCAGCAGTCTGAAAAGCCTAAAAATATCAAACCGTCAGTTTATCCACATTAGTAGTGTTAGCCCAATGTGACACCACGTTAGTCTCACTGGTCCATATCCATTTAAAGTTACTCCTAACATCACTGGGCTGGTAGGTGGAAGAGAATTCGTTGGGTCTCTCTGTAAAGGCTACAATGACACGTTTGCCTGCCTCGATCATCTCTGCATACTTCGTAACGCTCTGAAACAAAATATATCTAACGTTGTTCATGGTGATTGAGGGGGGAGGACTAGGAGGCCGGAGGGGTATTTGGTGGAAGTGGAGTGGTAGTAGCACTGTTGAGTGATTTGTTCGATAATTTGTTCGATGGTTTTGCAATGATATAATAAAGTCGTTTAATTTCACCAGTTGAAATATGAATTTATACGTACACCGTTTTCAGGTGGTGGTGGACACAGTTTATCTCCAAACATTTCTTCAATTTTTTTCAACATACTAAATACTTGAATGTCGGCACACCTAAAATATATTGATTCAATTTTAGTCTGGGTATGGAGCTCATATATAGTACAATTCGTGAATTCTAATATTAACTACCTTATCGGACCTTATTTGGACGGACATTAAATGAATGGACATAATTATGAACGGACATTAATATGAACGCTAGAAGGCACTCAAACCATCAAAAATCCTAATTTTTTCAATTTTTTTAAACGTTTTTTATTTCAGAAAATGATTCTTAAATCCATTTTTTATACAGTAAGTAAGAAAAGCAGTCGTTAAGCAGTAAAAATGTTAAAAGAAGTGTACATGATCAGTGTCTAATAAAAAAATTAACCTTTAAAATAAACCAACGTTGGCCTATAAAACGTTTAAGAACTTTTCATTCACAATCTAAAATTAAATACAACGTTAAACGTTGCTCATATCAATTGGTTCATCTTTTTGGGCGTTCGTGTAATGTTTTTTATCCCAGTTTCAACGTCTTTTCAGTTTCAACGAGTCAGCTAGAAACTTGATCTCTATTTCCAGACTTTCATAATGATCATTATATTAGGCTCACAACAGCTGGAATAAAATAAGTTAACCTCCTTTCTGGCTCACTTGTGGGCTGCTTCAGAAGGCTATAATACTGTATACAACTGTCTAATTGAATAATTGGAAGAGAACTCCATCAGGCCTAGCTGAACCAAGCGGGGAGTAAATACACCTTTCACAAGCAGGAGCCACATTGGTCTACTTGCTGTGAGGTGTCTCAGCTACACCTACATGGGTTGGGGGTCCCCCCCCCCCCCCTTTTCTTTTTTTTTGTGGCTTTGCTGTTTGGTCTGCACTGATCACCATTATTTAGGACTTGACATGATTTAGTGTTTTACAGTGTGGGAGCTTGGGAGTAACTCTTAGAGGGAATATCTTCGATCAGATTTGCAAGGGTTTTGCTCGACTGTCCTTTTTCCAGTTCCCGCTCTCATTGGCGATTCATCAAGAGCGCTTTTTCCATGGGATTTATTTTCGTTGACTTACATATTGCGTAGTCTGAACTCTAATATCATTGTGGTAATTCAATTTCCCGAAGCTGCAAAATTTTGCAGTTTTTAATTTCCGGGTGCAGATAATTATATAGACTTAAAATAGAATTAAAGTCGATGTACCAAGCGCTTAAGGGCCGTTGCAATCTATAAATCAATTTTATATTGGAGAAACTCTTTAGACTTAATCTCGTCTAATATTATATAGTACGTCAGCATTCAGCAGGCGAGTGGAAGTGGGTTAAGAAATGCTTGTGAAAGTGGATTCCTGAAAACCAAATTTTCTCCACGGTTCATGCTATCCTGATCATTATGAGCCTAACATTTTTTGTTGGTTTTCATTATTCTGGCAATGTTCAGGTACCTTATCGTACCTTATTTGGACGGACATTACATGAACGGACATAATTGTGAACGGACATTAATATGAACGCTCGAAGGCATTCAAAACCATCAAAAATCCGAATTTTTTTCAATTTTTGACGTTTTTTAATTTCAGCAAATGATTTTTTAATCCATTTTTTATACAGTAAGTAAAAATAGCAGTCATTAAGCAGTAAAAATGTTAAAATATGTGTACATGATCAGTGTTTAATATCACATATTATATTGAGTCAAAATAATTCAGGATTGATTTACAACGTATGTTCCTCTTTCTGTTCAACATTTTCCCCCAAATACCATCAGAACAAATCTGAATCCAGTAATAGAGAATTTATAATTGTTCCATTTAATTGCAAATTCATTGATAATCTTAACCTAAAATCTATTTTCTCTGACACTTCAGTCATTGATTTGCTTCCCATTTTGATTCAGTCTTTTACACCATTACAGATTTATTATGAGTATAATGATCCTATAAGTCTTTCTATTTGTAACTTTGCTTCATTCTTAAAGAAACTTTCTATTTCTGATATTAAATCTATTTTAGGTAGTCCATGCGATTGTCACTCCTCCCCTTTCAATTATCCTCCTCATGGACATGTAGTTACTGGTAATTTAGATATTGTTGATAATGTTGAACTTAGGGAAGTACTTTCCTACGGTTGTAAATACAGAATTCCCACATTTAAATCTCCAGATGAGATATATATGTCAGTTACCGAAGCTGTCGATAAATTTATAAAATCAAAAAGTAGAAAGTACTGTCAAAAAGAAGTAAAGTTCAGCGATTGGAAGGAAAAAGTGTTATCAATAGTTTCCAATCGTATTGAATATTACAAGAAAAACTTTCCTGAAACATTTGAAATAAAAGAAAACACACTGGAAAAAGATGATGTTAAAAGAAGTCTTAAATTGCTGAAAAGTAAATACATTATTTGCAGTATCGACAGAGCTTCTGGTAATTTTTCATTTATTTGTAAAAAGTTTTATGTAAAAACTCTTGTCAATGAAATGGGTTTTGATCCTAATACTCTAGAATGTATAGGTAATGATACATATAAACCCTGTAGCGAAGACGAGACTCATTATGTCAATAAAATATCTGAGAGTCTAAAGGAGAGAGTACAAGTTGAAGATAAAAACTTGCGACTAGCACGCATCTTCTGGAACCCTAAGCTTCATAAGAACCCTTACAAGGCGAGGTTCATTGCAGGTGCCCGTTTTTGCGTTACGAAACAACTTAACGTCCAAGTTAACTGTTGTCTGAAACTTTTGAGGAAATACTTCAAGAAATACTGCGAGTGTTGTACCCTGCTTTGGATCGCTTTACATTCCTTGGCGCCCTCTGTCCCTTAGAATTAGTTTGCATGCCACTTACCCTGATTTCACCCTCCTGCGGCGGTTTGTTTCATGTTTATTCACGGGTCACTGCGCTCCTGGTACGGTAGTTTGGAACAGGAGCGGCAGTGAGCCACGTTACGTTGGCCAGGTCTTTTGTTTACATTTGTAGAACTATTTTGTATTCTGTTTCCGGGAGTTGAAGACTTCTTATTTTAGTTTCTAGAGAAAGGATCGTTTCTCTTGTACTAGCAGCATTCTAAATCTGGAGGCCTCGAGCGTTTGAACCATCGTACTTAACCCTTATCATACTGGGGGTGGGTTGATTCGTCCATCCCTCCTGTTCAGTAACAAATAAATGTTACTTAATAAATTTCAATTTTAGATTGACTTATATGACTTTTATCAGCATCATCTCCTCTATCAGCCATATTATTTTTATCGACAAGTTTCAATCGGCCGGAGAGCTATTAGCATAATTATGCCGAAATTGCTTCATTTTAGTGCAATTTTTGCTCTCTAGCCTATTAGTGATTTTGCTTCCTATATTAGAGCTGAACACGTGGTATACTGCGTCACATCACGTGATACAGGAGCTCTGGGAGCAAATTGAGGTTCCTAGTGAACAGCATAGTGGGTCTAGCACTTCACCCTTTCATGCACGTCAATGGCTAATCCAATCAAGCTTACACTCAACTCAACACACTTGAGCCGACCGCTTGAACACCTATAGTTTACGAGAAACAATATGACAAATCTAAAAATTTGAATAAATGTTTCAAGAAATTGTTAAAATAATGTTAATTAGTAGAAGAACCAATGGCAACCTAAAGTTTATGTATCTTTTCGACCTTCTATTGAAAGGTTTTATTGTTAGCCAGTAAAAATATCTCCAATTCGTCTGAATGTTTAACTTCAACTGCAAGTGGTGTTGTAAATTATTTGAACGGGTTACAACAACAATAACATCAATGTACCTACAGATTAACCTGAAACGTCAAGGATACCATGACCAACGCTCGAATCGTTGAATTCATGGGAAAACTTATCCTGAACTTCTTATGAATAACAAGTACACCTACATTAGCATAACTGACAAGGTTGAGATGTGTGCTTTCATTGACCTTATCTACTTTCGGGGAGAGGAGCTGCCCTTGACGATCTGCGGACTATTTACTCACTTTCTGACGGACTTTCCAGCATTTCCTGCGGTGATGTCTAGGAACAGATTCTTCTTTCTGTCGACGAAAATAACATTTGAAACTAAAGAGTTGCGACACGATAGAGCAGAGCATTGGAAAAAAGACTGGTTCACGGCAATTCGCAAGTTTTACGAAAAGTGCCAAGCTAATTTCGCCACGGCACTAATACCTGAACAATACCTCTCAGTTGATGAATGCCTGTATCCGACTAGAAAGCGCATCAGTTTTCTCCAGTGCATGAAGAGCAAACCAGCAAAGTATGGTATTCTCTTCAAATCACTTTAAGTTCTCAACTCGGTGATATACACGTACACCTATCAAGCCCATTAGACCTTGCCCGTGCCCTCTTCATTCCTGCTATTAGGAACAGGTCCTTGCACGGCCTTAGCACCTGGACCCTTACCAACTGCTACTTAGAGACCGAAGACCCTAAGATTCTGAGGAGTACGGATCATGATACAAGTCGTGACCCAAACACACCATTGCTTCCCTTGGTGAGTCCAGGTCTGCCTAGTCGGTGTGTTCAGTGTGTAAAGGACGCATCAGGACCTGGTTACAAGAAGAAGGTCTGCGGTTTGTCGAAGGTCTAAAGTCAGTGTCAAAGTTGTGGACTTAGAATGTGCACGAAGGTTCATCTTATTTCATAATGTGACCCGTGTAAATGAACCATCAATTCTTTCGTACGAATACTCATATCCAATTTTTTTTACACCGATTATGATCGAAAAATTGACCTTATTTTTAAATTTCGTTTGTTTGAGTCTTTCCTAAAATTTATTTACCTTGATAATGAAATTTGGAGTAAAGTCGCATAGTTCACAACTTTCAAATTTACACACATACACTCATGTTTGCGATTGACCAATCCCTGCAGCGTTCTGCAAAATTTAACTCAATTTATAAAACAAGCACTCCTTATACGGGCTGATTTGGGATGGGTTGATTCAACCCATCCCCAGTATTCTAGGAGTAAATCGGATAAACAGTCGTTTCTTAGGGATGGGTTGATTCAACCCACCCCCAGTATTCTAGGACTAATCCGAATCAACAATCGTTTCTTAGG